TTCTCCTGTTGTGCTGTCTAAAGAATGCTTCCTTTCTATCTCTGGTTCTTTTATTATGGTTGCATCTGGCGGTGGTATGTCTGTAAATCAGGTGGTTATTTTGGTGCAAGTGGCTTTAGCTTCTAACAATGAATTTGAGGGTAATGGTAATCTTGTTAATATACCTATATCTATTTTGTCCACTGCTGAAATACAAAACCATGTGGCTCAGTCCGTTAAAAACTTGATTTTGTTTCAAAATGACTGGCTTTATTTAGAGGATGATCTTTCGTCTCCTTCTACCGGGGAAGAAGGGGACTATCTTGAATTTGAGAAAGGCCATTTTCCAGGTCATGGTCGGGGTAAATTTAAACATAGAGGTAGGAAGTAATTGGGTTGTTTTTTGCTCAAATACTTTTGTGGATTTGTTGTTGATTGGACTATGATGAGGAGGCCTGTGCTTCCCCTCTTTGGCTTGGCTGATTGGCAACCTGGGTGCCTCATTTGTTTCTTGGTGGCTTTCTCACCTATGGATGATCCGTGTTAGCCTCGTGGTTGGTGCTGGGGGCCTCCACCCTGAGTCCTGTCTTTTGGCTTTGTCTATTTGGTGTTTTGTTTTTATTGTTTATTTTGTACCCTGTGTTTTTTGTGGCTTTGACTTGTTGTATCTAGGCTGTTGGCCTATACCTGTACGTCACTGTTGTACTCTTTCTTCCCTTAATTTGAATAAAAAAGTTTATTGAAAAAAATATATACTCCCACTTTTCTTGATAAGTATTTAACAAGTAGTCAGCGAGTTATAATAGAGGAACTAATCCTAAAAGGGGGACCCACAATAGAAATTTGCTTAATGATTTAAGAGTGCTACGCGTATGAAACCCACCAGAAAACTCGCCCCAAAAAAATCAATAGACGCTACTCACTCGATCCTATCGTGGAGCTTGCTCTTTTATAGGGTAAATCAAGGATTCCTAATCAAGCTAGCAACTCGGCACTTGCCATGTACTTGGACTGCCATCTCTATTTCTTGTTCTCTTAAAAGTGATCATCCTCATGCAAATTCAATAAGCTCAACTACAAGAAAGAGCCTACTCATAGGCCCTCAACTCATCTTACTGCTACAATCCAACTTGAGGCCTCTACCTTCTCCCGACAACATTTAACTTGCCTCTCTCTTCTCAGGCTTGAGATCTCTTACACAAGTTTCCATTAACATCAACAAGCTTGTTGGTCATAGGTACCCTTGTCTTAGCACTCACCCAAGCCTACTCGCTTGCTTGGCACTACTGATCTTGTCCAAAGATAACTTGTTGGACCCCCTTCGACTTTGCCCTCCTTCACCAAATTGGAGGATGGGGCATATCTAGGAGATTTAAACTTGTTTGAACAGGGTTTAAATTAGATTTAGACCAAACCATGTTCAACCAAGTTTACATATTGACTTGTTTGAATGAGGTCTACTTTTCTCAAAGCTAATTTGAACCTTATTTGACCTTTTGTTAGATTCTACTATCTTATTTCTATCAAATGATATGAATAACTTTTTTAGAAAAATTTTCGTCATGATAGCCAATAAAAATTATTAAGCTTTATTTTAAACAACATAACATTTATATATTAAGAATACTTAGACATAAGGTGTTGAAGTCCCATTCAAATTCTTGAACCAAAATTTTCTAACCACTATTTTGATTGCCTCACTCTTTTGTAAGAAGACATCACATCCAAAAGATGAACACAATTAATAGGTAGAGGATTAAATTGAAGAAAGTGTATGGAGGAGTTAGAAATAATATAAGTTTAGTATTTCAAGTGAGATATAGTTTGAGAGGTATAAATACTTAATATACATTTAAGAATATTTTAATCCAAAAATATTTGCCAAAATGAAAATATAATAGAGATTATAATCCAAATGACTATATTATGATGAATATAAAGTAATAATAATAATTAATTTTAGGGAATTTATAAATACAAAGAATTCATATATACCTATATTTCAAATACATAAATTTTTATATTTAATCACATAATAGCTTAATAGTTAAGTTAAATTAAAATAGATATATATTTTATTCTTGATGAATTAATATTAATAATATTTTGATATAATTAAAGAATTATAATATTATATAAATAAATCTAATTTAGATTAAAAAATTCTGTATATGTCAGATAGCGTTGCCGATAACGCGGCTACCGGAAGTTCTCGGATTTTTCGCTATTGTACTCTATGGCGGCAGTAGCAATGGCTACTTCTTTGGCGATCAAACCCCTGCGGCCTCTTGACGGCGATCAATCTTACAGGAAAATCCATTTTCTCCGGCCAGCGACGTGTTCATCCGCTTCTCGTTTATGTTTGTTCCCCATTGCTTCGAAGAAACGCGAGAGCCAAGGAACTTTCGCGGCATCAGAAGAGTCCTCTTACTCCGTTCTAGCCGCTGTCACGAGCCGCTACAACGAAATCGTTGTTCTGGACACCCCCGAGACTAGGATTCTGCTTCTCGATTCCTCCCGTAAGTTAACATCCATTAGCACATTTCAGTTTCGTGTCATCATTCACAAGAGCTAATTATTTCTGTTTCTTTTATGATATTTTGGAGAATGGGGTTATTTGTATAAAACTGTTCGAGTTTTTTGAGAGTGAAGGTCTGTTGTTTATCTTGTTTTTCTTTTTTTTGGTCGAAACCAAAAATCTCATTATGTGTTTAGAGTTAACTTGAATGTAATAAACTAATTGCCAAAATAAATAAATAATAAAACTGATGTTGTTGCTGGCTAGAGAATTGAGATATCAAGACTCCAAAGCTCATAGTAACGACAGTTTTAGTGATTCATGTTGATAAATAGTGAATGGGATTTGCGTAAGAGAATATTATTTATCTTTTTCTTTTTAAATTATGGTAAAAAGTGAAAAATCTCGATATTTTTCTTTAATAAAATGTGTTTGCAGTTTTCTATTAATCAAATAAGTTAATGGCAAATTACTTTTGTTGCTTATAACAATGGTCGACTAGAGAATTGAGATATCAGGACACCAAGGACTATATGAATATATTTCTGCCGCTGGTCAATTGGTGTGGGTATTGGAATGACAGTTTGTGACTAAAGTAGATAGCAGATGGCTGTTGGGAGAGATAAGATTAGTTATTCCTTCTTTTATTTTTTTGGAACTGAAAAGTCACTGTAAGCGTGTACAGTTGGATTTCAATGATTCAATCCAATAAAATAATTGCATATTACTTCTGTTGCTTGTAGCAGCTGTTGACTCGAGAAAATGTATATCAAAATTCCAATTTGTATATGCATATATTTCTGCCTTTGCAGGTGTAGGTGAACAAATGATAGTTTTGGTGACTCAAGTAGACGCAGCTTCAGTAACGAAGCTAGAGAACTTTATGATTAAGCTTATGAAAATTTGTGTCTTGGTATTCAGTCATAACATTGGTGTTGTAATTATTCATTAGCCTTATCCCAACCCTTTGTGGTGATTTCATGAATATTTTTGTAGAAATGAGAATATTAAGATAGATATGCCAAATGATAGATTTAGAAATTATTAGAAGGACAATTAAAGCAGATTTAATATACGGTGATGAAAAAGATTAAGGTAGTTTGGACATGCCCAACAAAGGATAGATCACTTATACGATGCGTTTATAAAATTAGCGTTGAAGGATTGATAAGGTAAAGGGCTGAACTTAAATTAACAGGGATAGAAATAAAAAAAATTGTACAAAATAATTGTAATATATCATGCAATAAGCAATAATAATAAATAAATAACGAGGATTCATAAAGTTGGTCCTAAATAGTTGTACAAGGCTAATGATCATGATTAATATATATTTTTGCGCAACTTTCAGCCATGCTGTCTTTTGTTTACCCCTTTTTCTCCGTTAAACCTCAAGCTACTTCTATTTACCTATCTTAGTAATGAACTTATGTTTTTCCCTCAATAAATATACCTAATCTACTTGTTTTTTTTTTTTCTATTTACTTATTAGGAATATATGTTACATCCATTATATATTACTTGATTATTTCTCACTTTAATTCCTAATTTTACCACATATTTATTGAAACCCTTTAAGAAAATAAAGTTAAATTTGTAAACATCAAGACACCTTTTAGTGTAACGTTTGAAACTTCATCAGAAACTCCAAAATTAAACATATTTGTAAAAGAGCGCTTCTAGAATGGGTAATCTTTCGAGAAGTTACACCAAGGGATCAAAATTGTGAGGTTGTCACGCCAAAACACGTATGCTCCCTAATGGTTAAAAGATATAAAGCCTTATATTACCTAAGATTGACTTAAATTCCAGCCCTTTGATAAACATCAACCCCAAGTGTACAAGATATTTTTTGGACGAAGCAACCAATGTCTGCCTACAAAGTTTCTTATGTCAGATTGGGTTGACTACCTCCTTTGACTAAGTAGACCAGGGACCATAATAGTTCGGGATGATGGAACCATGAGATCTTGATTGGGTCTGTCATCATTTGCTTGTCGCCTACTTTAAGTATATGATGATAGATTTAAAGTCATAAACTCCTAAATTCAATTCCTAAAATTGTTGCTATTATACGTTAGGTAATTATTGCGACCTATTTAACAACTAGCTTTAATCAAAAGTTCTCACTCGTTATTGAGATGGGTAATTAACCATAGGGGCTTGCGCCTATGAGAAACCAAAACTCAGATCATATAATCCTCATGAAATGAGGGCAAAATATTTGCTTAGTGTCTTATCTAAAACTTAATTTGTCTTCTAAAAAATTATTTCAAAATCTAAACTCGTTAAAATTCTTCCTGTCAATAAGAGGCGCGGAGATGCCAGGGTACAAATTTTTGGAGCCCATAGCTATTAAGATAATAATCAATGAGAAACTTATGAAAGTAGTCAGTACTTATGCTCCCTAACTTGGATTAGATACAACAACAACAAGCCTTTATCCCACTATGTGGGGTCATCAAAAAATAATAACTCTTCTAAACAATGTTATTGGGTTGGAGATATTTAAAATATTAAATCCTACAATGTCATCTAATCCTAACTTCTATTAGATGATATTTAAAATATTAAATTTGAAAATAGATGAATGAATTACTACAATGTATACTTGTTGAGAAAGGATAATTATTGGAAGTGATTTAAATTGCTATGTAGATTCTAATAGGATAGGTTACTAGAGAATTTATAGTGTTTTGACATAGATATGTAATCGGAGATGATATATGTGATTTCATAGTAGCCTATATATAATCTTGGATAAGAGAACATAATTTATGAAGTGAGAAGAGCGCTTGGTCATTTAAACAAGTAGAGTTACCAAATCTTAAATAGATTTTATTTCTTACTTAGATGTAAAAGAAATTGTCTTGCAAAGATTATAAGATGATTCCAAAAGAAAGCTAGACCACACAAAAAAGGTAATAACTAGGGATTTATATCTTAAGAGTATAAATAAAATAGTTAAAAAAATTATGGCTGTAGGATTGTGTGACGAAATTTGAAAAATTAGAAATTATTAATCTTTCAATATAGCTTGCAAAGTGAGGAAAATTAGAATTAGTTAGTTGAGTTGTGATTTAAAACTATATAATTAGATGCTCGTCTCAACACAATTAAAAAAAAGTAATGAGGCTTATGCTTAAGAATTATAAATGAGGTTTATACCTCAATGGGCTGAGGCACACTTTAGCACAATTTTGAAAAGCTTGAGTCTCTAAAATTTGTATTTAGGTAGTTTTAAAAGGCTAGTCAGGTGAGTTTTATACCTCAATGGGGGTGAGGCACACTTCAACACAATTTTGAAGAATGTGGTCTCCAAAATTAGGATTTAGGTAATTTTAAAAGGCTTGTCAGATGAGGTTGACTCCCTAATGGGCGTGAGGCACACTTTAGCACAACCTTGTAGAGCATGAGTGTCCAAAATTAGAATTTAGGTAATTATATATATATATATAGACATATTTTCTATAGCTAAACAAATCAAACTTAAGAAAAACTGTGTGACCTCAAACTCACATCCTTAAGGCCCTCACGTTGATGCTCGATTCTATTGCACTATCTTTGCAATTTCATCGCCATTTTTCTCCTCTAACGCCTACCCTCTTGTTGTTGGAAACCTATTTCTTTATTTTTAGTATGAGGAGAAGAGAAAGAAATTAACTACAATGATGATTCTAATGAAAAACCTCTAAGTAATGAGAGTGGAATGACTTTTGAATCCATAAATTGTTATCTTTGACAACTTGGTTATGTTGAGTTGGGAATGGAGAGACTACTTATTTAGTGTAATTTTGTAGCTTTTTATGATTTTCAATAGCCTTACTTTGATTTTATAATCTCACTTTTTATGTTAGTATGTTACTTATTATTTCATATTTTTTATTAAGTTAAATGTTTAATTTTGAGGCTTATTTCTCACCTCACACAAAGAAAACGCCTCAATATCTAATTGTGTAATTTCAAACCTTGGTTGAGCCAAACCTGACATAGATAAGATTGGTAGTTCCATTAAAAGGATTGGTGTAGGATGTTATAGAAGAGTTTGGAAATAGGTTATAAGCTATGTTGCACCGATACACCTATTTATGAAGGCGTGCTGTATCCGATACACCGATACACGGATACACCTCCGATACTCCACCGATATGTGTCGGATACGCCAAAGATGTATCCAATTAAAATAGTATTTATTTTCAAAAGGACACACGTATCCGATATACGTGTCCGTTGAAAAACAAAAAGAAATCCGAAACAAAAGAAGATGCGTCTTATTTACTCCCGCGGCTGCGAGCAAAGTTCTCTCATTTCCAAGATGGATTTGAGTCTCTTGATGATATGAGAATATTAGAAATTACTAATCTTTCACTTGATGAGCCTGAATTAAAAGCTATGATATTTATTGAAGATGATATAGAAGTTCAAAGACAAACCACTGAAGAAGCTAATCATTTCATTCCTTCTATTGAATAGTTGAATCTTTATGTGCTAGACAATTTATATTTATGCTTTTGTTGTTGCACTAGACATTTAATGCTTATATTTTGATATTATAAGCTACAAGGCTACAAATGATGTTGTTGTCATTTTTTTTTTGTAATTTCAAATATTATGCTTTGATTGCTTTCTTGATTTTTATCTATGATTTATAAATTATGATGCTGTGTCCGCGCCGTACCCGTATCCTGTATTTTTAAGAATTGACGTGTCCCGTATCCGTATCGTGTCGTATCCGTGTCGCCGTATCCGTATCGGTGCAACATAGGTTATAAGCAGATAGGAAGACTTGTTGGAGTGAGAAGGTACAAAGGTTTATTGAAGAAAAAATTATGCTTTGAAAAGGTGGAAAAAATTAAATATTATAAGACTTATAATGATTGTAAGAAAGGTAAAATTCTTGTAGAGAGGGTGTGATTAATATAAAAACTAGAACTTTTGATAACTCATATAATATTATGCGTAGTTAGGATGTAGAAAAGGAGTTATAATAATAATAATAATAATTAAGCTAAGAAATATAGGGATTTTGATCAACTTACACATTAAAATTAAAATTCATGTAAATAACAAGAACTTGGTTAAAAATGTATTTGTCATGTGAAGATGGAATTTTTAACTTGAGAAATTACTATCGAATGCAATAATGAAGTATATTATATGTTATTCCAAAAATTAGAGTGGATTTAGCTCTAAAAATGCATCAATATAAGACATTATGCTCATATGAGATATCTATTGAGATTTGAAGAGTTATGAGGGATATTATAACAATTTTGTTAACACATTTTTAATAGAATTTTGAAGATTAAGTGGAAGCCAAATAGTTGGGCAATAAACATTTTGTTGCCAATATTTAAGAATGAACAAGATGCTCAAATTTGTGCTAATTAAAATAGAATCAAACTTATAAGTCATGCAATAAAACTATAAGAGAGAGTAATTGAAATAGGCTTATAAGAATTAACCACTTTGATTTCATGCGAGGAAACTTATTATAGAAGCATTTTTTTGGTTAAGATAGAGATCAACGAAATGATCTTCATATGATTTTTATTAATCTTGAGAAGGCATATGATTGAGTACCTTCAATATTGATTTAGTGGGCTTGAAAGCAAAAAAGGTGTGTCAAAGATATGTTGACATTATTAAAGACATATATATATAATGGAGAATTGATTTGTATTAGAAGTAATTATGTGGTATCCCAAGGATTTTCAATTACATCAATGCTCAATATTGAGTTAATTTCTTTGTATTGATTATGTAGACGCTAATAAAGGATGTGCAAAGTGAGATGCCTTAGTGTATGTGTTTTGTAGATAATAGAGTTCTAATAAGTAACATCCATTGAAATAAGTGAAATTTTTTAATGGTGAAGGAAACTTAAAAGACAGAGAGGCCTTAGAATATGTAGAATAGAAACTAAATATATTATATGTAATTTAGTGGATATAGTGCTAACAATTGTTACTCAATATTATTAAAATTTCACGTGATACTTAGGTATGATAGACTTAAGTATCTTAAATCTATTATATTAAAAGTATGATGATAGTCAAGGTTACAACTTTTATATTAAGGCTGAATGGCTACAATGGAGGTGTTGTAGGAGTTTTGTATGATAACAAAATAATACTAAGGAGGCTTAAAGGCAAATTATAGAAAAATGCATTTAACTCATAATATTGTATGAATTAGAATGTTTGGTTGTAAAAAGACATTATATCTATGTTAAATGCAGAAAAAAAAATGAGAATGTTAAGATGAAAACTAGGATTAATAATTCAACAAACGATTATATTGGAGGAAATGCTGAAGTGAGTAATCTATTCTGTATTTTATTAAATCTCATATGAAAATGATAACATGAAATATAAACTCTTCTTCCTTTTGAGAGAGAAGGGTGAAAGATCTGAAAATCCCAGCAGGTAACCTTGACTCAAGTTAGAAAAGATTCAAGGGGGGCGGTACACTGCTACTCCCTTATCCATTTAGCACTTGCAATCATACGATATTTATTTTTCATCTAGTCGTTGTAATATTCACCAACTATCCAGCCTTCCCATTTGAAGTTCTCAAATTTTCATGTCTCTCAGTTCATAGTTTTTAATTAATGGCTACTTTTCACTACAATGGGGTTACATTATTGTTTTTCAGCCGTAGGTAATGTCTTTACATTCCTCCCTCAGCTCATAATGTTAGGTTTAGTTGTTGCATGCTACTCATGGGTGATGTTCTATCCAACTCTTGCACATTTTTCAGTACAATCAGATTAGGTGATGGTCTGTTGTTTTGAGAGAGCATGCTAGCGCTTCAAACGTCCACGTATGATTCATTTCATAGATTTTGGCCTAGGCTTTATGATTGACCTACAATTTGACAACTTTAACTTTTTTTCATCTAGGCGATGAACCAATAGCAGTGAGTTTCCAACATTGATTTTATAATTCATAAACTAGGCATAGTTTTCAGACTACTTTATGAACTCATCATGACATCAGAGAAAAATTCAGTAGGTATTCTAAATAATCTTCAAAGCTGCTTATATTTATTGTCAAAAAATTTCATCATAAAAATGAGCAATTATTCTTTGGGTAACACATCATCATGTAGTTTTTATTTTAAGTTGCATTTTTCACTGTAGTTTTTTTCTCACCTTGAAACTCAAATTCAAGTAGTGTCTAAGATTGAACTACTCATGAATGAGGACTATTAAGCACTATTAATGCTGCGTTTTCTTTCCTAATAATTGCTTATTTTGTTTACCTGCAGACAATGTTCATAGCATTCTTTGTAAGGAGCAAAAATGGACAGGCTCATATTGGGTATGCTATAAGTTGGAATAGCCCTGTTGAAGTTCTTTTCTCCTCAAGATAGGATGGTATCAAAATATTTGTGGTTTTGCTAAAAGTACGTTGACCAGCCTATCCTAGTTGACCCGGATTAGCCCTTCATTCAGGCTTTGGCAACACTTTTGGACCTGAAATAGGAAATTAGTCCACTCCAAACTGCTTTGGTTACACATGCATTAAGGGTTTGCATAGGGGATACTTCATGTGGCCCGATCTTAATTGAAAACGTTTCCTAATATCTATCCTGACCCATCATTATCCTAATTATTTTAGGTTGGCTTTATGAATCATCATAGTGCTAACAACTATAACAACAAGCCTTTATCCCACTATGTGGGGTGGGTTGGCTATATGAATCCATTGTGTTATATTAAAAGTCAAAATCTTATTTAAATCTAATAAAAAAAGATCATTTTAAATACTTTCTAACCAAGTATTTTTAGGTCTACCTTTACCTTTTCTTAACATAGGCTGCTGAATCTAATACATCTACTTTCTTAACAGGATCATTGAAAGGTCAACGTTTTACGTGAAGCTTCTCCAACATTTTCACATATATACTTGCTTTGCATTATGTCTCCAAGTGTAAAGCCACTCATCCACCTAACCATCCTCATCTCTGCTACACTTAACTTAATTTTATGCTTCTCTTTTACTGGCCAACATTCTGTGCCATACAACATTGCAGGTCTCACCACCATCTTATAAAAATTTTCCTTGAATTTGAGGGGTACTTTCTATTACACAACAAGCCTGATGCATTCCTCCACTTCAACCATCTAACTTGGATTTTACTATTAATATCCCCATTTGTTTCACCATCGCTTTGAACTATAGGCACGAGATATCTAAAATGCTCACTTTTTTTAATGACTTAATCATCCAATGTCATAATCCCACTATTAGATCTATTACTACTAAAATTACACTCCATGTATTCGATTTTAGATCTACTTAAATGAAAATCTTTAGACTATAAAGTTGACCTCCATAATTGAAGTTTTTCATTGTGTTGTATTAGGTGTTAAATCTATTCTTGGTGTATCCTTTTGAGCTATATCATTCTATGTTAGGTTGGTCAAGTCATTTCCTTTCTAACCCTTCAACATATTTTAGATTCATGCATTATTCTCCATTTCTGATTTGCACTTTTTTGTACATTTTCTGTCCTAATTAGAATAAATATGCTACGTGCGATTTAGAAGAACCGAACCCAACCATGGTTGGGTGGGAGCCAGCAAAGCAAGAGGGGGATTCGGCTCCCCTTGTGGGGCCTAAGAAGGATTTAATTCAATATGTAAGAAATAGAAATAGAGGGAGAGAGATTTAGGAAGGTTTTAATCATAATTGGAGGGGGGGGGATTGATTTAGGAAAGTGATCTAAATCAAATTCAAATTGGGGAGGGACTATTTAGGGTTAGTAATATTGTATTTTGAGTTTATGCAATTGAATTTTTGCTGTAGTTTGTTCTTTATGAATCTCTTAGCGGCGTTTAGGGTTTGTGGGAGAGCTGTTCTACCTCTCGAAGAGTAGATCACTTGCATCTTTCCTTATTGTTGAAGTATTAATTAAAAACCAGTCATTATCATTAAGTTCCTGTAGTTTTCTGCTTGTTCTCTAGTTGTTTTTTTTTCCCAAGATGCATCAAAGAGAGATTTTTTGGAGACAATGACAGCAAAGGTGTATGTGTTGGAAGGCTAAATGGAGCAATTCAAATATGAGGTGAAGGAAAAATTCTCAACCATCGAAGGAAGATTTTCAACCATGGAGAATCAGATGGAGAGACGATTTGGAGGGTTGGAGGAGATGATGAAGAAGCTCATTGAGATGCGATCCAAAAAATCATTAACAGTTTCGATGGCTAACCTCTTAGCATGATTCGGTTAGGATTCTCTTGGGCGAATCTAAATGGAAAGAAATTGAATGAGAAGAGTTAGACGTAGAGAGTTCCTTTCATCAAGAGCCACATACTAGGCTCTGATAAGGGGAATAGGTTTGTTGGATGGGGGATAGCAGGAAGGGAGTTTTATGATGAATTTTATGGAGGAGGTGGTAGGTAACCGACCACTATGGAAGGTTGTTTGGGCAAGGGGAGTGGACAACCAGAGAGGGAGGTGGACAAGCTGAGCCATGGGGATCGGCTCATGGGAAGCGGATGGAAGAAAGGTGAGAGTTGCCCTCGATACACAGGTGGAATTATGGGCAGAAGAAGAAGTCATGATGGAGAAGCGAAGGTGAGGAAGTTGAAGATGCCGGTGTTCGAAGGAAAGGATGCTCATGGGTGGGTAGACCAGGTGGAAAGATATTTTACAGTGAATGGATTGAGAGAGGAGGAGAAGCTTATAGCCGTAGGGCTTTGTCTGGAGGGGAAAACTCTCGCTTGGTTCCAATGGAGGGAAGCTAGATACCCGATCCACTCGTGGGAGGAGTTTAAGGATTGTTTGTTGGAAGGTTTTCGATCCATTCGGGAAGGAGACCTACACAAGAAATTTCTTACCTTGACTTAGGAGGGGACTGTGATGGAATACATAGAGAAATTCGAGTTATTATCGGGGATGACTAAGGGAAATTTTAGAGGCTGTCTTGTAGAGAAATTTCATGAAGGGCCTCAAGCCCGACATACTAGCAGACCTTCGATTAATGAGGCTGAGGCTGAGAGGGTTTAAGAAGACGATGGAGCTAGCACAGATAGCAGAGGATCATAGGAAGATAGAGAGAACCAGTAAGAGCGGGGTTACAGGATGCTCTTATAGAAGTACCTCAACTTTTGGCCCGGGAGACCCGGACGATATCATTTTAGTGTTAGGCATCAAGGGAGAAGAGTGGGGGAGTTCGCCCTTGGGGTCAACTTTAAGCACCTTACAGAGGAAGAGGTGCAGGACAAGAGAGTAAAAGGTCTATGCTTACATTGTGATGAGAAGTATGTACGAGGCCATCAATGCAAGGACCTCATACTCCAGGTCCTTTTGGTTTGTGAGGAGATTGACAGTGAGGACCTGGTGGAGAAGCAGAAGAAGGAAGAGAGCACTTACACCTTGATGTGTTGAAAATATTCCTAAATTATGTGATGATATTTGCTCCAAATTACGCCATAAAGGTGAGGGGATAGATTGGGGAGCAGCCAATGGTCTTGGTGGATAGAGGGGGTACTCATAACTTTTTCTCCAATCGGGTCATGGACAAGTTGGGATTGAAGTTGGTAGATATAGGGAGCTTTAGAGTCATGATGGGAATGGGAAAGGTAGAGGGAGTATGAGGATTTGTAAAAGGTTAGTGTTGGCACTCCAGGGCATACAGATAGTGGAGGATTTTTTCCCCTTTGATTTGGGGATCATGATGTGATCCTAGTGAAGTGATTACAAAAAATTGAGGAGACCAAGGTGGACTAGAAGTCCTTGAACATGGAGATTTAGGTGGAGGGGAAGAAGGTGGTGCTGTGAGGGGATGCCAGACTATGTAGAACTATAGTTTCACTCAAAATCATGGTCAAGATGATACAATGATTAGGGCTGGACTACTTGGTAAAGTTGGAAAGTTTGGAGGGGATTCGAGATTCAGAGGAAGACAAGGTCTCAGAGTGTGTACATTAGCTCATGCAGTAATTTCTTGAGGTTTTTAAGCAACCTAGTAGATTACCACCACCTTGGGAGCACGAGCACGCTATCATGTTGAAGGAGGGAGCTTCTCCTATCAGTGTTCGACCGTATCGGTACCTGCAGATTTAGAATGATGAGATATAGAAGCTTATCAAAGAGATGCTGGAGGTAGAGATTATTAGGCCTAGTGTGAGCCCCTTTTCCAGTCCAGTATTACTAGTGAAAAAGGATGTTAGTTGGAGGTTTTGTGTGGATTATAGGGTCCTAAACAAGGAAACTTTGTTGGACAAATTTTCTATCCTCTTGATTGATGAGCTGTTGGATGAATTGTTTGGGGCGGTCATTTTCTCAAAGATTGACTTGAAATCAGGGTACCACTATAGAAGAATGAAACCAGGTGATGTGCACAAGATAACTTTCGAGACTCATGAGGGTCACTATGAGTTTTTGGTGATGCCTTTTGATCTTGCCAATGCCCAACCATTTTTCAGTCCCTAATGAACTGGATTTTTCAACCCTACCTTAGAAAGTTTATCATGGTATTTTTTGATGACATGTTGATCTACAGTCGAATGGAGGAAGAGCATATGGGTCACCTAAGGATGGTGCTAGAGACGTTGATGGAGCACCAGCTGTGATGTAGGCAGAGGGGGGGGGGGGTCAAATCAAACCCAAAAAAATTTAGTTTTGACTTCCCTTGAGCTTGCTAGCTAATAAAATTTGAGCTGAAATTTAGCTCATTATGAGCCGATTTTTAGTTCATTTATTGAACTAAAGGTTAGCTCATTATTAGCTAAGTTTTAGTTCATTTATTTTCTTATTTATGTAGTTCTTTATTTATAGTTTTGTCTCTTAAAAATTCATAGTTTGTCCCTTGGGTTTCCAAAATGGCTTTTGGATTCCCTGTGCTTGTTGTTTTTTGTGCCTTGGCTCCTTGGATTCCTTGGTTGGCTATTTTCGTGCCTTGTCTCCTTGGTTTCCACGGTTGGCTGCTGGTTTTCCTGCTGGGTGGCCTTTCCCGTGCTTTGGTGCCTCGGTTCCGTGCGGGCCTCTTGGGTTTCCGCGGCTGCCTTTTCGAGTCCCTGGCTGGGCTGTTTCCCGTGAGGTTGGGGGGGCTTTTCCGTGGTTTGTGATGCTTGGATTCCTGTGGGAAATCATTGAAGTGGCTTTTTGTATTCCCCTCTCATGTCTATAAATATGAGATGTTTTGGAATGTTTTAAAGTAATGTTAAGAAAGAATTTTTGAAGAGAAATCTTGTGGATTTTCTTGGAAGAGCTTGAGAGCTTCTTCTTCTTCTTCTTCTTCTTCTATCTCTCGGGGAGACTTGCGAGCTCTTTCCACCCTTCTTCTCGGCTTCTAATCTCTTTCGTCTCTC